ATGGATGTAGGCATAAGTTTGTGTTCATTGTATGGAACCAAGTGTGGGAAAGAAGCACAACCAAAAGCTTTGAGCATCTTGTAGTCTAGAGGATGCTGATTCAGTTTCTCATAAGGATAAATATTTGTATGGTTCATTGAGCAAGCAGTTGATGAGATAAACAGAGGTTGAAAAAGCTTCAACCTAATAGCTAGATGGAAAATTGGATTGAAACAATAAACAGAGTCATTTTTCAACAATGTATTTAATAACTAATACCATTATCTCGTGGAAACTGCATGAATAATCGACTTGTGAATTCACCACCACCATCCATTTGCAATGTTTTGACTGTTAAATTGAGTTGATTTTCAATCATGCTTTAAAATCCTACCAAGGTGGCATGCACATGCATTTTATTTAGTAATGGACAAAACCAAACATAACGAGTATGCTAATCGACAATAGAGAGATAAAACCGATATCCAAACTTTGACGAGATAGGGGCTGGTCCCAAAAGATCAAGATGTAATAGTTCTAATGGTTTTTGTGCATGATAAGTACGATTAGAAAAATAAAGTCTGCAAGATTTTCCAATAAGACAAATATGGCAAATTTTATTAGAATCAATCTCACCACTAACAGGTAAGTGTCGTTGATTCGACACATCAAAAGATGGGTGTCCAAGACGAGCATGCCAAACGTCTTGGGTTGTCTTCTCTCCATAGAAAGCTATCTTCTCGATAACCCTTGAAGCAGCACAGAGTGATAAAGACCATTAGAACTACTGTCAATTAGAAGTAGATTCCTCGTCTTGTTGTCCTTAACAAAGAAACCATAAGAATTTATGACGAAATAATAGTCCTTGTCATGATAAAATTTCCGATGGACAATATATTTTTCCAAATGGCAGGAACACAAGACTTATTTAAGATGTAATGAACTCATTGGTGTGCATAATTTTCCATCTCCAACATACATAATAGAAAGATGATATCTGTTAACAACAATAATAGAATCAGTACCTGTGTAAGGTTGAACTTTAGTGAGTGCACAAGGATCACACACTATGTGGTGGGTTGCTCCGGAGTCAAAACATCAAGTCATTGGGTCTGAAGTAGAGCCTGAGTGAGCAGCTGTGTAGGCTAGTTTTCCTGATGAGGACCGACATGAGAGTCATGGTCATCCTTTCCACATTGTTGACAGGGACTATCAAACTGAAACTTCCGAGTATTTTGAAGGTGTTGGAGCAGCGGGACGATGATAAGATGAAGGTGAATTGTGTCAAGAGTTAGTCTAACTCTTACCATCGTGATTTTGAGACCAAGGATTGCCATCATTTCAATCTCGATTGTTTCGCCACCCACCATCATGATCTCACTTAAAGTTTCTCCTATAATCTCCATGGTCATGCTCATTATCCAGATTTGACCACGTCCACCACCTTGCCCCTTGTAGTTGTTGGAATGAGGTTTGTTGCCTGAGTGATCTTGGGCTACTAGATCTGTAGCAAATTCAACTTCGGTTGACAGTGAAAATGTCGACATTCTTTTCTGAAGTTGTTTTTCTTGGAGTAGATTGAAGAATTCGTCAAAAGTGAGAGATTGACGAAGATGAAGAGAGGTTGTAAATTCCTTGTATTCATGTTGAAGGCCGTGTAGAGCATATTCAACCAATTCAGCTTTTGCCATGTTGGATCCAGCAGAAGTGATGAGTAGATTTTATATTATATATTTTACCCTAATCTTAGTGTATTTTGGTTAATATATTGGAAGAATTTTGATACTTTGAATTGTATTTTCAATATAGGACTTTCAACTTCCTCTGGAGCAAAACAAGACCAAATGGAAGAATTTTGGAGTAATTTCAGTTGGAGGACGTTCGTGAGTCACTTAGCTTGATCGTATCAAAATTTGAGATTTTTCCACCAAACGGTTATTTTCTGGCGATGAAATAAAAAAGTAGTGCGCAGTGCTAGAAAATGACGTTTTTGGGCTTAAATTGCGTTTTTGGAGCCCAAGATGACCTCGGATGGGTTTGTGGCCTTCTGGAAAAGTGTTCAGAATAGTCTAAACATTAAATCCAGCTATATTGGGCCAGTTTTGGAGCAGCTTATGGTTCCAAAACGTGGCTGTTCAGATTTTAGGCGAATTTTACCATTTAATTTAGGGTTATGTTTCCTATTTGATTGGAATTAATTTTAGTTTCCTAGGGTTTGTGTGGAGGCTGAGCAGATATATTGCTTGGCCGTCTACCATATTTCTTTACGCTTTCTTTTATGCAATTTTGGAGACAGAGAGAATTGTTAGGGTTTTGGAGACTTTTTACTTGAAGGTGCTTTCAATCATTTTCTTGAATATATTTTCTATGATTTCAATTATGAGTATGCGGAACTAATTTCTTTTTGCTAGGGCGAAACCTTGAGCCTTAGCATGAATATGTGATTTTTATTTAATTGCTTATAATTGATTGCATACATACTTTGAATTGTTAATCACCGGGATAAAAACTATCTAATTGTCTTAATGCCTGATCACCATTAGGATCTTTAGAAAAGTAATTTGATGCAATTTTGGTCGGAAGGTTCCCTGAAATTGACGCTGGCTTCTTGTGATTAATAATTGTAATTTTACTTAGGATGAATATCACGTCTTAAGGATTGTATGGTTTTTCAAAGGATTTTCATAAAGCATAATGAGTCTTTCATGTTCAGATTTGCTCCGAACGTCCGGACGGGTTGCATGTTAGATATACGTTCTATGTTGGAGGTTCCAAGTAGAATATGAATTAGGAAAATCTAACCTTCAAAGTGGCATGTATAGATCATAAGTAATGGGTGAAAATTCATAGGATTGCTAGGTGATGGTGGAACCTTAGTGCTTTCTTAATTTTATTCTCCCAAAACTGTTTTCTTTTCTCTCTAGCTCTAATATTGCAGATTGTTTATTTTAATTCATTAATTTCATTTTTATTTTAATTAGGTTATAAAATCAATCACCTCAATTTCTACTTTACAATAATTAAATGGAATATGATTAGTTTCGAATTATTTAATAGTCCCTATGGAGACGACTTTGCGAGATCCGTTTATACTACAATAACCTTGTGATTCTTGCAAATAAAATAGGAGATTTAAACCCGTTCACATAAGTAGTAAAAATCCTATCAAGAAGCAAGCAAGTCAAAACTTGATTTGGCATGAATAAGATAGTCCGAAATTGACTGTTGCGAGGTTTTCTTGAGCGTACGAATTTGATCCCTCAGAGTTCGCACATGATTTTTGGAGATGGGAGAAAGCCTATTTTCCAAGAGTGTCCAAGCCTCTTGAGCAGCGGTGCAAAGAATGAGTAGTGTTTTGATAGAAGAAGAAGCGGTGGACTTTATTGAGGAAATGAAGAGTCTTTTGCATTAACTCGGAGAATAATTTTACAGAGTGTATATATACAAACAAGTAGGGTAAAAACTAAAATTACCAAGAGTAAAAGAATTATTACAACAGTAACTTTAACTAACTCTAACTAACTTTTAACTCTTGTACATTTTTATATATTCTATTATTCTATTCACACCTCCTCAAGTTGAACGGAGAAGGTTGGAGTGAAAGCTTGGATCGCAGATCAAGGAACTGTTGTCGAGGAAGTGATTTTGTGTGAATGTCATCGGTCTAATCCTGACTACATACAAACTGAACTGTGAGAAGCTTAGCAAGAACAAGCTCCCTAATATAATGGTAGTCAATTTCAACATGTTTAGTCCAAGCATGGAAGACATGATTTGAGGCCAAAGTAATCGCAGATATGTTATCACACCAAATTTGGGGTATAACAGGCAACTGAAATCCAATATCAGCAAACAGTTGGCATATCCAAGTGATTTCAGCTGCTGTATGGGCTAATGATCTGTATCTGGTTTTGCCATTGGACAAAAAGTATCACTAATATCTATTCCTTCTTGCTGATTATACCCATTGGCCACTAATTTGGCCTCATATCTGTCCACAGACCCATCTGGCTTTCTTTCAGAAGACCCATTTACACCCCATCAATTTTTGAGAAGAGTGAGGTGGAACTAGTGTCTAAGTCCCAACAATATGCAAAGCATTGAACTCATCTTGCATAGCAGCCCTCTAATGGGGAAATTTTGAGGCTTGCAAGTAAGTAGAAGGAACATACTCAAGATCTAGAGTAAATGGTAATGGGTGTTTTGTGGCAGTGAACGCTTTGGGTTTATAGATCCCAGATTTCGATCGAGTTTGCATAGGATGAGTAGAAATAGGAGGAAGTGGTGGGGGTGGTGGTAAGGGTACTATAGGACTAGCACTAAGGGGAGGTGGTGTTGGTGGTGATGGTGAGGGTACTGGAGAATGAGTGACATCTGTGGGTAATATAGATGAGGGGACAGATGGTGACTGTTGAGGAGAAGAGGAAGAAAACTTGTTGTTTGATGAGGGATATAAGTTTAGAAAGGTAAAAGAGAAATAAGAAGGTGGAAATGTGGTTAGGGAAGGGAATGTAGGCAGTGACTCAAAGTGAGATTGGTGAAAGGGGAATGAGGTTTCATCAAAATAGACATGCCTAGAACTGTAGACTCTAATGGTGATAGGATCAAGACATCTATAACCTTTGTGAAGTAGACTATAACCAATGAAGACACTCAACTTACTCTTAGGTTCAAGTTTGGAGCTAGTATAAGGTTGAAACCAAGGATAACATATGCATCCAAAAACCTTAAGGGTAGTATAATATGGGGACTTGTGGAAGAGTTTTTCCCATGGTGAAGGCTTTGAAACATGGGGTAGTCTATTGATGAGATAGACTGCAGTGAGGAAGGCTTCCACCCAAAAGTGATGGGGAACTTTGGATGCAAGCAATAGGGTTCTGACAGTCTCTACAACATGTCTATGCTTCCTTTCAGCACAACCATTTTGCTGAGGAGTGTAGCAACAACTAAGGTGCTATTGAATACCATGTTGAGCAAGATGTTTCTTAAACTCGGAACTAAGAAATTCACCCCCTTGAATCAGATCTTAAAGTGCCAACTTTGTTGCCACAGAAGTTTTCAATAAGAGCTTGAAACAAAGCAAATGTATGAAACACATCAGATTTATTCTTCAGAGGATAAAACCAAGTATATTTCATGAAATCATCAATGAAAATGACATAGAATCTATAACTACTCACAGAGAGTAAGGGTGATGGTCCTCAAACATCAGCATGTACTAGTTCTAAAGCTCGAGAAGTAGTACAACGAGAATCATGAAAAGGTAATCTAACACATTTACCTAATATGCAATCTAAACAATGAAACTGACTAATAGTACTAGTAGTAGGCAAGATAGACTTTGATACAACATTTCGAAAAGTCTTGAGTGTTGGATGCCCCAAACGCTGATGCCAGATTTGAGGAGATACTTTTATTGCAGAATTGGCAAAGAACCGTCTTGTAGATGGAGAAGACACTGAGAAGGGATATAGACCATTGTGAATATGACCTTTATAAAGCATCCTCCTTGTAGTAAGATCCTTGAAATTAAAGTCAAAAGGAAGGAGCACCAGTTATCCAAAAGAAACATATTTGTAGATAGAAGATCATCTTTCAGATGGGGAACATGCAAAACATTGTTCAATTTAAATGTAGTTGATGGTGTTTTAATAAACGAAGAACCTGAGTGAAGAATTGGCAAACCTTGGCCATCTCCAATGTAGACCTTATCAGGACCAGTGTATGGCTAAGGATTTTGCAAGTTTTGAACGTTGTTTGTCATGTGTGAGCTCACACCGGAGTCCATCAACCATGGTGGGGAAGAATAGGTGGAAGTATTGGCACACATGGCAAGCTTAGCAGGTGGAATGCGCCCTTGGAAATTTGGATTCATACGATTTGAACAATTGATTGCTAGATGGCCTGGATCCTCATAGATTTGACATGGAACAAGGTGTGGAGAAGTACGATTGTTGTTGTAGTAAGTTCCACCACGATTGCCACCACGATGTCCGTCGTGGTTGTTATTGTTGTAGCGATTGAATTTGGTGCGATTCGAGTAATTGCGCTGAGAATTGTTCCTCTGAAAATTGCTCCTGTTTGGCTGAGTTTAAGCGTTGTATGCTTGTAACTAAGGAACATTTGGTGTAGGTAGCAGTGGAGGATTATTTGATGTCTGGACAGAATTGAAAGCTTGATACGATTCATGGGAAGAAGAACTTTGATTTTGCTTCTTGATTGTGCTTATTTCTGGAAAGAGCCATTTCTTTACTGAGAAGAAATCCATGAAGATCATCAATACTTGTGTCAACCAAGAGGAATTGAATAGAATCCATGAACAAGTCATATTCATCAGGAAGACCGCTTAGAATAATGAGGAGAAGATCATGTTCATCCGCTGGTGCGCCAGCAGTAGTGAGAGCATTTGTAACCTCCTTGATGCTATTCATAGATTGAAGATTAGTGCGGAGTTGATTAATATGTGAGCGAGAGACTCCACCAAATCTTTGTTCAAGATTCTAGCAAAGCTCTCGAGCATATTGGATGCCAATAGTGAATAGAATGAGATCTTCCGAGAGAGTGGAATTGATCCAGATGATGATGTTCTGGTCCTTCTCATACCACTACTCGAAGGCTGGATTGGGAAGAGAGGTAAGAAATTTAGGCGGTGGTGGCTCAGATCTGTCGACGATTCCGATAAGCTTGTAACGGCAGAAGATCGGATTGAAGAGAGATTTCCATATAAGATAATTGTGGCATTTGAGCTTTGTTTGAACCATACTACCATTATTCTGGATCGTGATCGAGTTAATCGAAGCCTGAACTAAAGAATTAAGGTTGGAGATGAGCGGAGAAGAGTTCGGATTTAAGATTGCATGAGGAGATCGAAGAGGCGCAATCACCGGAGGTGAGGAAATACTGTTACCATATTGAGGAAATGAAGAGTCTTTTTCATTAACTCAGGGAATAATTTTACAAAGTGTATATATACAAACATATAGAGTAAAAACTAAAGTTTCCAAGAGTAAAAGAATTATTACAATAGTAACTTTAACTAACTCTAACTAACTTTTGACTCTTGTACATTTTTATATATTCTATTATTCTCTTCAGACTTGATCCAAGTGAGCACCAATTTATCCTTTGTATAGACAGGATTAAGCGTACCATCATGTAACTTATTTCCTGGCTTGTCTTGGACTTTGACAATGTCACCAAGGTCATTGTTGAAAGATGTTGGTAAAAGAGCAGAAGCCAGGAGGAGGTTTTGCCTTGAGAGGTATGGGAAGCGTTGGAGTCCGAAAAGAAGATATGAGAGTCATTGGTAGCCATTTGAGTGATAATGTAGACAGGATCGAGTGGCTGTTAGTCCTTTTCAGGGCTGTGGATCCATATAGAAAGATGAACCAGTTCGGTATGGAGAAGGTTTCTAGTGTAGAGATGTAGAATTATGATAACGTTCCAGTCATCGTATTCAATCCAATATATAATTACATTGAGTTAACTTTTGGTGTCCCTCCTGGCCATTCATCGAAGAAAATACAATGAATGATACAACTACATGGAAATAAATACAACAGATTCTATGAAGGAGGACGTTCTCGTGACTCCTTGATTCCAAGAGTGGAATGAATTGATGGCTTGGTCAAAAGTGCGTGTGTCTCTTCACAACACAAATTCAGGAGGTACATGTATGCATTGATACCTAAAAATATACGTATGATGCTTAAGTAGAAAATGGGTGCTAGTTTAATATATCCAAATTATGGTTTGATTAACCACAAGGATATTGGGTTTTTGCAGGATGGAAGGGTAACGCATCTCGGCCTGTCATCAATATTGTTGTGCCAATTGTTGTTTCTCTGGCACTAATTATATTCATCTTCATTTGTTTAAGAGTAAGGAGAACAAAGAAAAAGCCCGAAACTAGTAAGTTACTTCCAGGTAATGAAACAAGATTAATGATGTACATTTAAAGTTGACTATGTTGCATCTCTACTATAAACAATGAACATTTTTTGAAGGGTAAGAACACTGAACTTAAATAGTTTTCTTGTTATATTGTTCATCAGGCGGTGGCGATACAGATGAAAGTAGATATCCTTGCAATTCGACTTTGGCACCATTAGGGTTGCCACAGAGGACTTCTTTGAAGAAAATAAACTCGGACAGGGCATATTTGGTTCTTTATAAGGTAATGATACATCATTACATGAATATGAGCTGCGATATAACTTATGTTTGAAGCTATCTTTCATATATTCCTTGAGTGCAACTTAGTATGTGTCTATCTTGTTCTGGGTAAGCTTTACAATGGAGAAGATATAGCTGTGAAAAGGCTCAAATTCTGGACAAGGAGATTTAGATTTCAAAAATGAGGTTTTATTAGTCGCCAAACTTCAACACCGGAATTTAGTTAGACTGTTTGGTTTCTGCTTAAAAGGAAACGAAGGGCTTCTTGTCTATGAATTTGTGCCCAACCCAAGTCTCGATCACATCATATTTGGTATGTCTGGAATTATGCTTTTTTCTCTCTGAACTTTTCCTAAATTTTGATGTAGAATTAATTCCAATTCTGTGACATGCAAGGAAACATTGTAATTGAAGACTTTCTTTGCATGAATATATGTAGACCCAACAAAGTGTGCACAACTGGATTTGGATAGGCGATACAAAATTATAGTAGGGACTGCTCGAGGGATCCTTTACCTTCATGAAGACTCTCGCCTTAGAATTATTCATCATGATCTCAAAGCTAGTAACATCTTAATCAATGCAGAAATGTACCCGAAGATTTTAGGTTTTAGCATGGCAAGGTTGTTCGTGCCTTGATCAAACTCAAGGCAATACTAGTTGAATTGTGGGGACCTAGTAAGAATGTACATAACAGCCTGCGTGGCTTATGTTATAGCAGTGTATGTTGTGTCATAATTTCCCAAGTTTCCATTTATGTTGGTGAAACTTTTAACTTTTTCTTGTTTATATGCAGCGGGTATATGGCTTCAGAGTATGCAATGCGTGCACACTTTTCTGTTAAGTCCTATGTGTATAGCTTCAGTATGCTAGTTCTTGAGACAATAAGCGGACAGAAAAATAGTTCTTTCTGTCATGGAGATAACGTGGAAGATCTTATAAGGTCCACTGTCTACTGATGCAATTGGGTATAAGAAAATTAAACAAAGAAATGTTACCTCTGATTATTTCTGCAAATTAACTCACAAATCATTGCAGGCATGGAGGAGTTGAGAAGGGACAGCATCGATTCTAATAGATCTGACACTGAAGACTGGTTCGAGAAATGAAATAATGAGATGCATCTACATCGGACTATTCTGTGTGCAAGAATATATAGGTGATAGATACCAACCATGGCGTCGGTTATTATGATGCTAAATGGCTACTCTCTTACTCTCCCAGTGCCCCCACAACTAGGTCTGGCAAACAGGTCGTGTCTGTCGTGTTCGTGTCATTTTCGTGTAACACCTGTTATCTTAATGGGTCGTGTTGTGTCACACCTGTTATGACCCGTTAAGAAAAATATATTTTTTTCTTAAATTTGCACATACCACACATTATCACATAAATATTACTTCAAAACATTAAAACATATTTGTCATTTAAGTACTCCACCTACACTTGAAAATAAGAGCCTAATAAAAAACAAGTTTCACGGTTGGATCGTTCAAATTACTTTCATAGAATTCGTATCCCATCAAAACGATAGATTCACTAACACTTAGAGTTTATTTATACTTTCATTAATTATAACATCAGATTTTGTGGTATCTACTTGTGTAAATATTTTAAATTGACGATCAAATTCATTCATTGTATTCGTATAGGGTCAAGGAGTGTAGTTGTAAATAATCATCAAAATCATAGTTAAAATACCCATTAAATCGTGATTTTTTGTTTTAAAACCGTTGAAAATTTTTGTCTCATTACTTGATCTCTGAATGTTTGTTTTTTTTGATTTTGGGCATATGCGATCTCGAAGCATATACAAACAAGTTTGACAGTTGGATCGTTAAAATTAGTTTAATAGAATTCGTATCCCATCAAAACGATAGATTCACTAACACTTAGAGTTTATTTATACTTTCATTAAGTATAACATAAGATTTTGTGGTATTCACCTGTGTAAATATTTTAAATTGACGATCAAATTCATTCATTGTATTTGTATAGGGTCAAGGAGTGTAGTTGTAAACAATCATCAAAATCGGAGTTAAAATAACCGTTAAATTGTGATTTTTTGTTTTATAACCGTCGAAACGTTTTGTCTCATTACTTGATCTCTGAATGTTTGTTTCTTGTGATTTTTGGCATATGCGATCTCAGAGCATATACAAACAAGTTTGACGGTTGGATCGTTAAAATTAGTTTCATAGATTTCGTATCCCATCAAAACGATAGATTCACTAACACTTGGAGTTTATTTATACTTTCATTAAGTATAACATAAGATTTTGTGGTATCCACTTGTATAAATATTTTAAATTGATGATCAAATTCATTCATTGTATTCGTATAGGGTCAATGAGTGTAGTTATAAAAAATCATCAAAATCGGAGTTAAAATAACCGTGATTTTTTGTTTTATAACTGTCGAAAAGTTTTGTCTCATTACTTGATCTCTGAATGTTTGTTTTTTGTGATTTTTGGTGTATGCGACCTCGAAACATATACAAACAAGTTTGACGGTTGGATCGTTAAAATTAGTTTCATAGAATTCGTATCCCATCAAAACGATAGATTCACTAACACTTAGAGTCTATTTATATTTTCATCAAGTATAACATAAGATTTTGTGGTACCCACTTGTGTAAATATTTTAAATTGACGATCAATTTATTCATTATATTCGTATAGGGTCAAGGAGTGTAGTTGTAAAAAATCATCAAAATCGGAGTTAAAATAACCGTTAAATCGTGATTTTTTGTTTTATAACCGTCGAAAAGTTTTGTCTCGTTACTTGATCTCTGAATGTTTGTTTTTTGTGATTTTTGGCGTATGTGATCTCGAAGCATATACAAACAAGTTTGACGGTTGGATCGTTAAAATTAGTTTCATAGAATTCGTATCCCATTAAAACGATAGATTCACTAACACTTGGAGTTTATTTATACTTTCATGAAGTATAACATAAGATTTTGTGGTATCCACTTGTGTAAATATTTTAAACTGACGATCAAATTTATTCATTGTATTCGTATAGGGTCAATGAGTGTAGTTGTAAAAAAATCTCAAAATCGGAGTTAAAATAACTGTTAAATCGTGATTTTTTGTTTTATAACCGTCGAAAAGTTTTGTCTCATTACTTGATCTCTGAATGTTTGTTTTTTGTGATTTTTGGCATATGCGATCTCGAAGCATATACAAACAAGTTTGACGGTTGGATCGTTAAAATTAGTATCATAGAATTCGTATCCCATCAAAACAATAGATTCACTAACACTTGGAGTTTATTTATAATTTCATTAAGTATAACATAAGATTTTGTGGTATCCACTTGTGTAAATATTTTAAATTGACGATCAAATTCATTCATTGTATTCGTATAGGGTCAATGAGTGTAGTTGTAAAAAATCATCAAAATCGGAGTTAAAATAACCGTTAAATCGTGATTTTTTGTTTTATAATCGTCAAAAAGTTTTGTCTCATTACTTGATCTCTGAATGTTTGTTTCTTTTGTGATTTTTGGCATATGCGATCTCGAAGCATATACAAACAAGTTTGACGGTTGGATCGTTAAAATTAGTTTCATAGAATTTGTATCCCATCAAAACGATAGATTCACTAACACTTAGTGTTTATTTATACTTTCATCAAGTATAACATAAGATTTTGTGGTATCCACTTGTGTAAATATTTTAAATTGACGATCAAATTCATTCATTGTATTTGTATAGGGTCAAGGAGTATAGTTGTAAAAAATCATCAAAATCGGAGTTAAAATAACCGTTAAATCGTGATTTTTTATTTTATAACCGTCGAAAAGTTTTGTCTCATTTCTTGATCTCTGAATGTTTGTGATTTTTGGCGTATGTGATCTCGAAGCATATACAAACAAGTTTGACGGTTGGATCATTGAAATTAGTTTCATAGAATTTGCATCTCATCAAAACGATAGATTCACTGACACTTAGAGTTTATTTATACTTTCATTAAGTATAACATAAGATTTTGTGGTATCCACTAGTGTAAATATTGAAAATCGAATTCATTCATTGTATTCATATAGGGTCAACGAGTGTAGCTGTAAAAAATCATCAAAATCGGAGTTAAAATAACCGTTAAATCGTGATTTATTGTTTGATAACCATCGAAAAGTTTTGTCTCGTTACTTGATCTCTGAATGTTTATTTTTTCCAATTTTTTGGTAATGCGATCTCGAAGCATATACAAACAAGTTTAACGGTTGGATCGTTGAAATTAGTTTCGTGTATCCCATCAAGTTCAATGGTGTGTGTATATATATATATATTATGTAGATTTAAATCTATTTATTTTGTACGTATAATTATTATAGTTAATATTTTGGGGGTATAATTATTATAGTATATATAATTATTATAATTATTTTAGTTAATATTTTGGGGGTATAATTATTATAGTTAATTTAATATATATATATATATATATATATAATTATTATAGTTTTAAACTTTTTAGGGGTATAAAATTGTTAAATTAATATATATAATTATTATAGTATTTTTTAGGGTTATAAAATTATTAAATTAATATTCTGCTTATCGTGTATCGTGTCACCCACATGTATACCCGAACCAACCCGTTATCTTAACATGTGCTTATCGGGTTTAACACCCGATTCGTTATCGTGTCAACCCGAACACCTGTTAATTTCGTGTCGCGTCGTGTCGGGTTATCGGGTCGTGTCAAGAATTGCTAGGCCTACTCACAACTAGCATTTTGTATACATAGCAGCATCTGGTCAGAAATGTCTCATTCACTAGGATGGGAGAGTTACTCAGGGGTGGCGAAGTCGGATCAATATTCCAAGAGCAACTCCGTCAAAGTACCGGAACATGAGGCTTCCACATACCATATTTACTTAAACATATCCTCGCGAGATATTCAAAAGGGAAACTAAGTTATGAAATTGTAATGTAATTTAATTTAGGAGAAATTAGGTTCTCATCCTTTCTTTTACCATTCCATTGATTAAAATCATATTCATTTTCAATTTTTGATCAAGGTCCTTGGGTATTAATAACATCATTAATTATTTCAATAATAAAACATTTTTTATTTCTAAATATATTCATTTAATGTTAAAAATGTTACAATTAGTATATTTATATTTATGACTAAATTTTTTATCATATATTTTTAGTTTTAGTTCATACCCAATTTTAATTTGCAACATTTTTTTAATTTGTACCAATTTTCTTTTCAGTTTTAATTTATATCCATATATTAATTTCTTTTTGTACCCATATTTTTTTTAAATTTATTTGTACCCATTTTTTATTTTGTCAAATGTACCCATGCTAATTATATGTACCCATTCATGTAATTGTTTTTCAAATTTTTAATCTTAAAATGCACTCATTCTTAAATATACCAATTTGTTATATGTAAAATGTACCATTTTTTTTTTATTTTTTTAAACTTATATGGGTACATTCTTTTTTCTTTGATTTTAAAATGTATCCATGAGGCAACCCGTCCCTAGTTCTACGATTTTATAAAATTTTAAAAATGTGAATTTACAAAAATGCCCTAGAGGTGAGGGTATTGACTTTCGTTGAACAAAGTATAGTGAGACATAAGAAATTTTTTTTAACTTATTCTTGAAGTACTTGACGATACAGACGCATAGGCGCGATTGGAATCGAATTCAAAGTTATTACGAATTTTTTAACGTAAGGGCATTGCGGTAATTTCACAAGTGGAGATTTTTTTATCCCACCCTTGGACCACTCACGGGCTGCCACGTGGCATATTTCTCCCCCATTTTTTAGAGGTTTCTTTGGTTGAATCGTGACTTCCCTTCTCTCTATTATTTACTCCCTTTTTCTGTCATTCAAACACACACATCACACTTTTTCCCTTCTTTGCCGACATCACCTCACCCTCAATCTCCCTCATCATCTTCTTTTCTGCCGTGACCATCCCCTCACCCCAGTTCTCATTCCTCCTTCTTTGTGCAGCCAAAACAAACACATAAAAACCATCCTCCTAGCTCTCATCTCTCTACCGCGGCTGGCATGGAGATGCAACAGAGCATCACCATTTAGTGAACCCAACTCCGACGAGTTTTCGATTTTCCGACCATAGGTAAGCCTCAAGAGCCATAAATCTCAAATCTTATCGTTTTTGAACTCCTGATACGGTCTTTAACCTTCAAAATGCGATTCGGTAAAGTTAATGTAGAAAAACCTCTCAGGAAAGTATCCCAAGATTTTGAGCAGGGAATAGTGGCCATCCGGCTGATCACTCATATATTTCATGCATTTATACCATCCATTTCTAAAGTCTTTGTGATGTTTTGTGTTAAAATTGTGGCATTTTACCTTACCTTGTGTTAATGTGCAGTTAATTTTGTTTTAGGATCAATTTCAAGCAAAATGAAGAAAAGAAGAATAAGAAGGAGTGGAGAGACAAGTGCGGTAGGTACAACAGAAAAAAAGAAATAAAATAGGGGGAATAAGGAGTGCGCAGAGGGCGCAGAGAAGGAGAGACCAACAGAAACAAAAGGAATGATGGGCTTGGTGCTTTGAATTGTCATTGCCCTTTGGCTAAAGGCAACGGACAAAGTAGAGAAAAGCCAAGGGGCACTTCAGATACAACATAAAAAAATAAACAAAGAAAGCAGAAAGCATAAAATCATGATGAATGATTAACATACAGCAGCAAATGCATGCGGACAGGTTGGAATTGGAAGAAAAGTCAAATAAAAAAAATACAGAGAGAAATCAGAAAGCAAAGTGGGATGAGATGGCCTTCCACTTGTGGCCTTTGTGCTCTACTTTGTCATCTACACACGGCAGACTGCAAAAGAGAAGTGAGGATCAGAAAGCGTGAGAGGTAGAGAAGAATAAGCAGAAAAACATAGAGCAGAAATAGAATACAGAAGAGAGCGAGAGGCACGGCAGAGAGCAAGGAAGGAAAGAAGAAGAGGCTTCACTTTATTTTTCTTGGTTTTATCTTCTCAAACCCATGTTTTACTTTTGGTTTAATTTGAGAATAATGTGTAACTAATTTTTGGTAGTTAGGGGCTGTTTTGAAGCCCCGAATATGATTGTAAAGTTGTTGTGATATTTTGTTTGAATGACTTTTATGAAAGGATGAAAATTGTTTCACTACTTATGTCATTGATAAATTCTTTATGTGTTTCTATGGATGCATACATAGTGAGCATATCTAGGATTTTAATGCTATGAATATATGTTTACCTGCCCTTGTTGAATGAGGACCTACATATGTTCTAGAGTAGCACTTGTTAATTGTGGTTAACATGTGAACCGATTTCTAGGATAAGTAAGACAACGCCAGTACTTACAATGCCTTGTGATGACTCAAACTCTTTTTATTCTTAATGATTTCTACTTGTTAAATCTATGAACACGCCATTCTAGATTGCATGTTAGGGACTAAGTTAAGTTGAAAACGCCATTCTCTTAACATACTACGTAAGAAAGAGTAATAGGTTGAGTTCTAACAGTGAGCCAACTTGAGCATCTTCATCCGGAAATAAAAGGGATTTGAATGAAACATAACATGCTTGCATGATTATTTGGTGGTGGATAGCATATCCCCTAACTCGTTTTCTTAACTTGTGAATTAAAATCTATTGGTATTATTTGAAACTTGTTGAGGTCCTGTTTTGTCCGATTTAATTGAAATAGCTAATCAACTCCAAAAATCCCAAAAATTTGTGTGAGCATAGCTTGGTGTGTCTAGTTTATGTGTATAACATTTCGTTGCATTTGGATAAGTGTAAGTTAGTCTAATAATTATTGTTCGGTGGCTGGTCAGTGGAGACAGCCACCCTGTTTTTGTGACATTTTAAGTATTTGGATAAAACAATCTTTTGCGGGAAAGACCCTTATTTTCATATGCTACAATCGACAAATTTAGTGTTAATAAAGAAAATTAATAGGATATTTGTGTGCTACTTTGTGTTGTGCATTTATGCCTACCAAATTTTGGCGCCGTGTCGCCGGGGATTGTTATTTCTAAATTACTTATTTTTCTATTGTTTTCTTTTCTTGTCCAATTAGTGTTTTTGTTTTTATTTCAGGTACTCTTTGTAGTACATGCATACTCGAAAGTCTAAGAGCATTGATCTAGCTTCCTACGATCCAGAGATTGAACGAACATTTCGAAAGCTTCAGAGAAAAATCAAGCAAAAGTGTGCATCGGTGTCTTTACCACCATCTTCTCCACCACATTTAAGTTCAGAAGAGGAGGAGGAACCACAAGAAGGCATGGCTGATAACCGTACATTGAGGGAGTTGGCAATGCCAAATACGGATCAACAACCATTGTGCATCACATATCCAAATGCAGAAGGAGGATTTGAGCTTAAGTCCGGCATGATTCACTACTTGCCTAAGTTCCATGGCTTCTCAACAGAGGATGCCAACAAGCATCTCATGGAGTTTCACGTGGTATGCTCAGGAATGAGACCAGCAAATGTGGATGAGGAGCAAGTCAAGTTAAGGGCATTCCCATTTACATTAGAAGCTAAGGCAAAGGAGTGGCTTTACAATTTACCTTCGGGATCAATGAACACATGGAACCAGGTGAAGCAAGCATTCTTGGAGCAATATTTTCCGGCCACAAAAGCTGCAAGCATAAGGAAAGACATATGTGCAATCCGACAACAACATGGAGAGCCCTTTGGAGATTACTATGAGTGGTTCACACATTTGGTTGCATCTTGTCCTAACCATCAGATTTCAGAGCATTTACTAATACAATACTTTTATGAGGGATTGTACGATACTGATCGTGTAATGCTTGATGCAGCAAGTGGAGGAGCATTCATGGACAAGACACCAATAAATGCTAAGGCATTATTAAAGAACATTGCTGGCAACACACGACAATTTGGAGGGAGAGATGAGCTACCTTTTAAGAAAGTTAACGAGGTAAGTGCTAATTCTAGTATTGAATTACAATTAGCTAACTTGACTAATCTTGTGCAACAGGTTATTGTGGCTCCAAAACAGGTGTGTGGTGTATGTTCAATGATGGGACATGCCACAGACATGTACCCTTCGTTGATGGATCAAGGTGGTATTGAGCAAGCTAATGCATTAGGAGGATTTCAAGGGCAACAAAGGCAAAAGTATGATCCCTATTCCAACAACTATAATGCAGGATGGCGCGATCATCCACACTTAAAGTGGAACAATCAAGACAACAGACAACAATCTGTTCCCAACAACTATAACCGTCCGCCTGGCTTCTTTCAAGCAAGACCGCAGACACCATTTCAGCCTTAACAACAACAAGCTCCAAGTAAGTCTCTTGAGGATTTAATTGCTTCTTTAGCTAACTCTACTCAATCTCATCAACAGAAAACAGACAAAGCAATTGAAAACCTTGAACGCCAAATGAGTCAGTTAGCAAGTTTGATGGGGCAACAACACCAACCAGGAAGGTTGCCTAGCCAAACCGTGGTGAATCCAAATGCGGAGCAGATGAATGTTGTGACTTTAAGGAGTGGAAAAGAAGTTTTTAAGCAAGATGAGGCTTCAACAGAAACTGAAAAGTCTCCTAAAGATACAGAATTGAACAAAAAAGATTCTGATAAGGTAAGTAAAGAAGTTCAAAATTCATTTAACTCATGTGTCCCTATTCCTTTTCCTCGTAGGTTTATGAAGTCTAAGAAAGAGCAAACTGATAAGGAAATCTTGGATACTTTCCGGAAAGTCCAAGTGAACTTACCTCTTTTAGATGCCATAAAACAAGTGCCCAAGTATGCAAAGTTCCTTAAAGAGCTTTGTACGAACAAAATGAGATTCAATGATCAAGAAACTGTGGCATTAAGCGAGGAAGTATCAACTGTTTTGCAGAGAAAGCTGCCACCGAAGTTGAAAGATGCTGGTAGCTTTACCATTCCATGTGTAATTGGAGGCAAAGAGTTTGGGAGAGCATTGTGTGATTTGGGGGCATCCATCAATCTGATGCCATATTCAGTGTATGAGTCATTGAACCTTGGGGACTTGAAGGAAACAAAGGTAGTAATCCAGTTGACAGATCGTTCAAATAGATATCCCAAAGGCCTATTGGAGGATGTACTTGTGCAAGTGAATAAGCTCATTTTTCCCGCTGACTTTTTTGTTCTTGAGATGGAACATGATCCTATGCCTACTGCACTTCCTCTTATATTGGGAAGACCATTCCTTAGAACAGCACGGACGAAGATTGATGTCTACGATGGTACCTTAACCATGGAAATTGATGGGGAAAACGTCAAGTTCAGAATCTTCAATGCTATGAGGTATCCTAGTGAATTAGAATCTTGTTTGTCTATTGATGTGTTTGACTATTTTGTGCAGGATTGTTTTAATGAAGGTGTGAGACAAGATAATTTAGAGAAGGCATTAGTGCATAGCATTACACATGGAAATTTTAATTATTCAGAGCACATTGAAGAAGAATTAATCCAAACAGTGGCCTCTCTTGAGTCTCTTTCACCAATTCGTGGTAAGTGTTCTTCCTATTTTATTTCTCTTCCTACTTCTAACGAAAAAACTCTTCCTTCTGTGATTCAGGCACCTAAATTGGAGCTTAAACCGATCCCTAAACATTTGAAGTATGTATTTTTGGGAGAGGATGAAACATTACCAGTCATCATATCGTCACAACTCACAGCAGAAGAGGGGGAGAAACTGATCTGGGTACTGAAGGATCACAAAACTGCCATAGCTTGGAGCATTGCAGATATCAAAGGTATAAATCCAGCTACATGTATGCATAGGATTCTGTTGGAGGAAGGTGCAAACCAACAAGGGAAGCTCAACGCCGTTTAAACCCACTCATGATGGAAGTCGTAAAAAAAGAGGTTATCAAACTTCTTGATGTTGGCATCATATATCCTATTTCGGATAGCAAGTGGGTAAGCCCTATTCAAGTAGTCCCTAAACGATCTGGAGTCACAGTTGTTAAGAATGAAGCTAATGAGCTAATGCCTACACGTGTGCAAAATAGTTGGAGAGTCTGTACAGACTATCGAAAGATAAATAGCACCACACGCAAGGATCACTTTCCACTCCCATTCATTGATCAAATGTTAGAAAGGCTAACTGGTCATTCTCATTATTGTTTTCTTGATGGCTATTCTAGGTATAATCAAATTGCAGTTGTTCCGGAGGATCAAGAAAAGACGACTTTCACATGTCCATTTGGCACATTTGCATACCGGAGGATGCCGTTTGGACTGTGCAACGCCCCTGCCACATTTCAGAGGTGTATGGGAAGTATCTTTTCTGATATGATTGAGAATATAATTGAAGTGTTCATGGATGATTTTTCAGTTTATGGTGATTCTTTTGATACATGTCTACATAATCTGTCCCTAGTTTTAAAACGTTGTCAAGAAACTAATCTAGTGTTAAATTGGGAAAAATGCCATTTCATGGTTTCGCATGGATTAGTTCTAGGGCATATCATATCTGAAAAGGGAATTGAAGTTGATAAATCTAAAGTAGAACTTGTTAGTTCTTTACCCATCCCTACTACTGTCAGGGAGATTCGTTCTTTTCTTGGACATGCAGGTTTCTACCGTAGGTTTATGAAGGACTTCTCAATGATTTCTAGACCCTTGTGTCGTTTACTTCAAAAGGATGTAACATTTGATATGAATGAAGAGTGTGTGGTAGCATTCAATAAGCTTAAGGAGTTGTTATCCACGGCTCCTGTAATCATGCCACCAGATTGGAGTTTACCTTTTGAGTTAATGTGCGATGCTTCAGACTATGTTGTTGGTGCAGTTTTAGGGCAGCGTGTCAACAAAGTGCCACATGTCATCTATTATGCATCTCGAACACTTAATGATGCACAGTTGAATTATTCAACAACAGAGAAGGAGCTTCTAGCTGTTGTGTTTGCTTTAGAAAAATTTAGATCTTATCTGATTGGGACTAAAGTTATTGTGTTTTCTGACCATGCAGCTTTGAAGTATCTACTCACAAAAAAAGATGCAAAACCACGACTCATTCGATTGATACTTCTGCTTCAAGAGTTTGACTTGGAGATCAAGGATAAGAAAGGGAGTGAGAATGTTGTAGCAGATCATCTTAGCCAACTTGTGCATTCAAACACAGAGGAAGATCTCATCCCTTTACGTGAAAGTTTTCCAGATGAGCAATTGTTTTCATTAAAGATTACTGACCCTTGGTATGCAGATATTATCAATTATAAGGTCATCAAAAGATTCCGGATGATTTTACACGTGCTAAACAAGATAAGCTTGTCAAAACCGCCAAATACTACAAGTGGGATGATACTTATTTGTGGAAATATTGCACTGATCAATTGATTAGAAAGTGTGTCCCTGAATCTGAGTTTAAATCTATTCTAACTTTTTGTCATTCTTATGCATGTGGTGGCCATTTTGGAGCAAAGAGGACAGCCCTGAAGGTGTTAGAGAGTGGTTTTTATTGGCCTAGTTTGTTTAAGGATGCGTATGAGTTTTGTGCAACATGTGATCGTTGTCAACGAACAGGTAACTTGGGCCCAAGAAATCAAATGCCACAAACCCATATTTTGGTTGTTGAGATCTTTGATGTGTGGGGCATTGATTTCATGGGACCTTTTCCATCTTCAAATGGTTTTCTTTACATTTTATTGGCTGTGGATTATGTTTCTAAATGGGTGGAAGCAAAAGCCACCAAAACTAATGATTCAAAAGTTGTTTCAGATTTTATTAAGAGTAACATCTTTGCAAGATTTGGAATACCTAGAGCAATCATTAGCGATGGAGGGAGTCATTTTTGCAATCAAACATTTGAAGCGTTGCTTAGGAAGTACAATGTCACACATAAGGTGTCTACACCTTATCATCCGCAAACTAGTGGTCAAGCAGAAGTATCAAATCGTGAGGTGAAGCAAATTTTGGAGAAAACTGTGAGTCCTAGTAGGAAGGATTGGAGCATGCGCTTGAACGATGCATTGTGGGCTTATAGGACTGCCTATAAGACTCCTATTGGAATGTCCCCATTTCGGTTAATTTATGGGAAACCATGCCGTCTTCCAGTAGAGTTAGAACACAAAGCTTATTGGGCGATCAAAGCCTACAACATGGACATGAGTGTTGCCGGAAAGCAAAGGAAGCTTCAATTAAATGAGTTAGACGAAATCCGGAATGATGCATACGAGTCTAGTCGAATATACAAGGAGAAATCAATAGCATTTCATGACAAGATGATCTTAAGGAAGAGCTTTGTCATTGGACAGAAAGTTCTTCTATTTAATTCTCACCTTCGGTTATTTCCAGGTAAGCTTCGTTCTAGATGGGTTGGTCCATTTATTATAACAAATATTTTTCCTCATGGTGCAGTGGAAATCCAAAGTGCAAAGACCGGATACGTGTTCAAAGTGAATGGGCATAGACTCAAGCCATATTACGAGTCTTTTGCAGAGCATGATGTGGAGGTTGTACCTCTCCAAGAACCAGTTCCCTTTGGATGATTACTCTTGGCATCGTCCGGCTGCAAGACGTTAAAGAAAGCGCTTCTTGGGAGGCAACCCAAGCTTTCTATCTTTCATCTTTATTTTGAATAATTTTAAATGTTCTTGTTCTGTTTTTCTCTTGTTTTCTGGTTTGTGTGTTTAAGTCCTACTTTTGTTCCTTTATGCAGGTAATGATTTTGCAATCTCTACCACAACTTCTTGCAAGGTATTTTTGCATTCATAAAAACGAAGGGAACATTAAGCAGATAAATACAAGGGGGAGCCTTCACAAAGGCTGCTTAGGAGAAGTCTCAGTAGTCGGCGGAGCTTCAGCAGTTGGCGGAGCCCCAGAAGGAGGAGGCATCAGAGGTTGATCATTTGGAGCTTCACTACGCGGTACAGCCCCAGAAGACGAAGGCAAATGCTGTTGGAACAAACCCATAAACCGTTGATGATCAAGTAAAGTCTGACCATCAGATTCCTGCATCTGGTCAATCTTCCTCTTCATGTTTGTAGCATAATTATGTGCGAGCTTGTGCAATTGTTTATTTTCATGCTTAAGCCCTATAATCTCCTACTTGAGACTCATCACTTCAGCCGCCAATGATTCAACTTGACGGGTTCGGGCAAATAGGTGTTGGGCCATATTGGACACGGAACCTGCACACTGCACACTGAGAGCCAAAGATTCCTTAACAGCCAACTCATCAGACCGTTTGGCGAGTAGTCGGTTATCTTTGGGAGTGACAAGGTTCCTGGCCACCACCGCAGCTGTCATATCATTCTTCATCACCGAATCCCTAACGGTAAGGGGACCAGTAGGGGATATGAAGGATGGGCGCCATATGTTGTCTGGAGAAGGCGGAGCTGCCTCTTCACCAAGGTTCAAGTCAAAACGACGATCGGAAGGGCCATACATTTTTCAGAGGTGGTAAAGAAAGAAGAGATCGGACAAGTCAAGATCGTAGAAATGCAAAGAGGGAGTTTTTACAGGCAGAAATTCAAGTGTGCTTTGAACGTCCTGCATACCTCTATAAAAAGCAGCACGAGATGGGATTTCAGAGATCGAAGAGGCGAGCTCAGAAATCGAAGAAGCCAACTACAAAAATCAAAGAGGCACTAGCTTTCTCAAAAGCTGAGCTTGCTCAGAAACCACTGGCCATCCTTTGTTCCAGATTTGTCCGCACTCGTCACATGCAACCTCTGCACTCGACGGAGCTCAGATTTTGAAGAGGCAATTCCAGATTTCGGAGAGGGCCATCTTTTTTTCCAGACGTGTCAACATCTGTCACATGCAGAGTCTGCTTTGCGAAAATTACGGGCAATCTGTCGAAGATCTCTGGTAAAGTAGAAAACACGTGAAGTTTACTGTTCCATCATCTAATGCTTGCCGACAAGAGTAAAAGAACAGTACCGGTTATTATTTCCTATAAATGTCGACCTTCACCCTCCATGGCAAGGAAGACATACATAACCTTCCATCATCTCCGAGAATGCCTTTCCAACAAACCCTCTCGAGTCACTCCGTGTTCCTTATTCCTTGGGGTACCTCTGCAAACAACCCATCCAAAGCAAAAGTATTTCATATCATGAAGGTGGAAAGCAAAAGTATCTCATATCATGCTTTCTCCCTGTCATTCTCCTTGTCTTTGTTTTACAATTAGGAGAAAAAGAGCAACCAGCCAGCACTTGGTATTAATCTTCCGATCTGGAGCCAACTGCTTGGAACCCCTTCCTGATTGCTTACCTAGCCTTGCTCTCGAGTACTCATCTTCATCATTTTATGCTTCCTCTTCGTTTACCACATCTGCCTGGGGAACAGATAAGGGAAGTGAAAATGATACCTCGAAGCATGTGGAGACAATTCGCCAATTCATCCTCAACTAGGGACAAGGAGAAAGAAAGCAAGAGGTGGGCACTTGGAAAGATTGAAGAAAGAAACAGACCAACACAGCTACCTTGTGCCTGCCCGCGGTGCAGAAGAAACAAGCAGAGAAGAATGCAAACTGCACAATCAAATCAACCTAGCAGAAGGAGTCTGATTTGAAACCAAGGAACTCTGATATTCCTCGCTCCGGATTCCAAACCAGTTCGAGATTCACCTACACAAATTGGTGTGTTCTTTCCTTTTCTTTATGTCTTTATTTCATTTTATATTTCTTTCCTTCCATTTTTATGTCTTATTGTTCAAAAATTCCTTTCATTATCATTGGGGACAATGCTATAATTAAGTTTGGGGGTGGAAATATATTTCGTTAGTTTATTTCACTACTTTAAAAAAAAAAAAAAAAAAAAAAAAGTTTTTGCATTTTTATTGTTGTTTGTAGCTACTTCTCAATTCAATGATGAGATTTGATCTTAATTTCCTTCTTACTTTCAAGAAAGTCTAAGTTCTTTTCGTTGTCTTTGTGTTAACTGTGATTTCCATAAATCAACTTGAAAAATAAATGTGCCTAGTCTTGTCAATGTGAAACTTGAGCATGATTTAGCGTTTCATATGTGAATCATGTGAGATTATGTAAACCTTGTGAGTTTTTGAGCCTATACATGATTGAACCATTATGCATCAATCTCATTCCTTCTTGTGCGTATGATCTCACTGTACATGTATCTCTAGAACTTGCTTTATACTACTCGATTCATTAATCAATTCATGTGATAACTTGGAAGTGACATAGGCCATCTTTGGACCGTTTGAGCCTTTCATGCCTACCTTATATGCTATGTTTATCCGTAGTAGCCCATTGAGCCTTTAACTAAGCCATTTCTTTGTTAGCCACATCTCTTTACCTTGCTCCAATATTGGAGTTGAGCCCATACACAAAAATCGATTCCTTATTGTTTTGAGAAAGTATTACATGGGTTGTGCTTTTGGGGGTTTCATTTATGTAGAAAGATGGATGGAGCATGTGTATTACAATGAAATGTGAATTTGATGGGTGATGTAGCTTTTGCAGATTTGTTTCTTTTATGTCAAAAAAAAAAAAAAAAAAAAAAAAAACGAAATATATGAAAATTGGAGAGTGTTGATTTGTTGAAAATGTGTCGGTAGAGTATAAATTTCCTTTTGAAGTTAAATTTGGGGAGTAATAGGTGCTCGAGGTTTTAGTATTTTGCTTTCAATTTGAGGTGGTGTGATATTGAGGTGTTGGAAAACTACCAAAGTGTACTTTCTCAAAATTTTTGATTTCCATATCATTTCTTTCATTAGCCTATCACCTTTAGCCCCATTACAGCCGTAATAAAGTCCTATTGATCCAAGATATTACTTAAAAATTGATAAGCGAGTTAGGTGGACAAGCAAGCATATGGCGGCATGTACAATGAGATCACTTGAGTGAAACACATTAACCAAAACTTATGAGTGAATGAGCGTATGTCGTGTGAGAAACTCACATGTTTGCATATGATGATTTAAAGGAGCTTGGAATTGCATTGACATGGCTAGCTCACACATGGCTTTTCAACGTTTTGTTTGAAGGAAATTTGGTTAACTATTGGATGATGTTTTGAGCTCTTGTTACTTACTTCTTGGTTGTTTGTTTCATGATTAGCACTTATCTCTGAAATCGAAATTGAGAAGTTGTCTACTAAGTTGTTGAATCTAGTCTTAGTTGAGTGGTGTTGTTTTGTGTTTTGTTTTGCTAGAGGACTAGCAAAAATGTAAGTTTGGGGGTATTTGATCACTCATATATTTCATGCATTTATACCATCCATTTCTAAAGTCTTTGTGATGTTTTTGTGTTAAAATTGTGATTTACTTCTTGTAACATATTTGGAGGAATAGCTGAGAAAAAAATAAAGTAGAGACAGCGTCAAAAAAAAAAAAAAAAAAAAGAAAAACAAAAGATCCTAACAAATCCTAAAAACCAAACAAACAACAACAACAACAACAAAGCCTTTTCCCACTAAGTGGGGTCGGCTATATGAATCCTAGAACGCCATTGCGCTCGGTTTTGTGTCATGTCCTCCGTTAGATCCAAGTACTCTAAGTCTTTTCTTAGAGTCTCTTCCAAAGTTTTCCTAGGTCTTCCTCTACCCCTTCGGCCCTGAACCTCTGTCCCGTAGTCACATCTTCGAACCGGAGCGTCAGTAGGCCTTCTTTGCACATGTCCAAATCACCGGAACCGATTTTCTCTCATCTTTCCTTCAATTTCGGCTACTCCTACTTTACCTCGGATATCCTCATTCCCAATCTTATCCTTTCTCGTGTGCCCACACATCCCACGAAGCATCCTCATCTCCGCTACACCCATTTTGTGTACGTGTTGATGCTTCACCGCCCAACATTCTGTGCCATACAACATCGCTGGCCTTATTGCCGTCCTATAAAATTTTCCCTTGAGCTTCAGTGGCCTACGACGGTCACACAACACGCCGGATGCACTCTTACACTTCATCCATCCAGCTTGTATTCTATGGTTGAGATCTCCATCTAATTCTCCGTTCTCTTGCAAGATAGATCCTAGGTAGCGAAAACGGTCGCTTTTTGTGATCTTCGCTAGATTGCTCCGGTCATTAGTGTGGATAAGTATATAAATGGATAGAGATAGGAAAGCAAACACAAGATGTACGTGGTTCACCCAGATTGGCTACGTCCACGGAATAGAAGGAGTTCTCATTAATTGTGAAGGGTTTACACAAGTACATAGGTTCAAGCTCTCCTTTAGTGAGTACAAGTGAATGATTTAGTACAAATGACATTAGAGTACAAATGACATAGGAAATATTGGAAAATTGGGAGAATGATCTCGTAATCACGAAACTTCTAAGTATCGGAGTGTGGTATCGTCTTGACTTGCCTTATCTGTCTCATAGGTAGATGTGGCATCTTCTCTCTGGAAGTACTCTTCCTCCATCCAGGGGTGGTATCTTTAACTGGTGGAGATGCACAAGGTAATGTATCAATTTCACTTGAAGCTTACTTGTAGTTTCAGGCTTGGTCAAGCGCGATACAAACCATGTAGTAGGAGTCCCCCAAGTCGCCGAGCTAGGGGATCTGCTGAAAGAGGTGACAG